CTACATGGGTTTCTGGTCTCGCGTCCATCATCAGGCAAAGGGTGGAGATTTCCAAATATTATTAAAAATAATGAATTTTTTTCTTTATGTTTTTCGATGTTAAATATTCTCAATATGAGAGATTCTCTTTTTGTGTTAGTGATCCAAACGGCTTTCTTGAACTGGACAGTTCAAGAAAGACTATAACCTCTTCCTTATATATATATATTAACAGGAGATAAATGATAGGTGATATCCGTTAGGCATGGCACGTGGAACTAGAGCAGTCTACCACATTGAGCGAATTCATGAATTTAACTTTCTTTTAAAGGCGCGCGTTCATAAAATTGTGCTTTTCTTTACGTCTTTCATTTTTTCAGCTCTAGATTTTTTTTCCAGTTGTAAATTTTTCTTTTTTGCTTCGAAATTAAATTAATTTTTTATAGTTTATATATAAGTTGTTATGTTGTTGCATTATTAATTAAATTTTAATGTTTGTTAACTTTTATCAATAATTAAATTATAATATTTTACTTAATATTTTTAATTAATATTTTAATTGATATATTATCTTATATTATCATTAAAGTAAATAATTGTTAATATGTCGGCATCGACCCATTAAATTTTTTTTTTTTAAAGAAATGGAAATATCGTTTAAAACCCTAACCCGTAAATACTGGAAATTTTACCAAGAAATATCGATGTTGGAATAAAAATTGATATTTAAAAAGTTACGTAATCTTTTCATATAATATAATATTATATATATATATATATATATATATATATATATATAATAAAATATATATATATATATATATATAAAATATTATATATATATATATATATATATATATATATATATATATATATATATATATATATATATATAATGAATCATTCATACAAAAAGTAGATTAATAAAGTTAATGATATAAAATGGCGAAAACTCTTTACAAACAAAATTTTAAAGTTGCATTAATCTACGAACCACTCGATGAATGTTAAGGCCCTTGTTTTTAATAACTACAAGCTGTATAAGGTCTTTTTTTAATCTGCTAGTACTTTCAACTGTACATACAGTCATCCTCAGGCATGGAAATTATTTTGTTTTTAGTAAATCCAGGATTGGTGTATGCGGAATAAATTCCAATAACCAACAAATACTATTCTTAAAAGAGTGCTCAATGCAGAGTAGAGCAAATATAATTATTTATTTGAAAATTATAACATTAATATGTTATAAAATCACTACAAAAATACCCATTTTGTTTCAACACTTCTGGTATCTTATCAAAGAAACAAAATGACTATTTTTTGTAGTGATTTTATAATTTATTTATGTTATAATTTTCGAATAAATAATTACATATATATATATATATATATATATATATATATATATATATATATATATATATATATATATTCGACGGGTGTTGAAATACTCTTAGGCAGACCCATTTCACAAACTCTGATTAAATACCGAAATTTGGAATTTATTTTGAAATCCTTTTTTTGTTAGCTAGCGTACTTTTCAGCGCCCCCTCGTATATCTGTGTTGACAATATTTTTAATATTTTGTTCCTTTTTCACGTTCGTAGAGCTCTTAAACGACCCCTCTCGCCCTCCATTCCATTCATCTGCTTTACATATCGCAATGAGATTTGTGAGTCATTAGCGTTGTTTTCATCGAAAATATCAAGGCTGAGGGATAAGATTTCGCTGAATTAGCGAATGAAAGAATGAAGGATTGAAAGAATGAAGGATTGAAAGAATGAATGAAAAGAGAAGGAGTGACGCGCTAGAGTAGCCAAGGTCTTTGGAAACAAAGAAAAGAAAAAAAAAAACGGATTATTGAAAAAAAAAATGATGAATGCAATAAAGATTTAAAAGAAAAAAGAAAAAAGAAGGCGGAAAAATTAATATAATATTTCCGAATAAAAAAAATATTCTAAGTAAGAAACGCTGAAATGAAAATAAAGAAACTGATTAAATCGGACAAATTTACAACGTTTCATTCAGTTTCCGTTTGATTTTCTTCAGGTGGTTATCTTGTGTAGCAGCCTTTGTGGAAAATATTCAATAAGACCAGAGTCAGATCTGACCAAGAATTGAGTATTTCTGCCATATCTGGACTGTTGTTGCCCAGTCCTCATCGTCCAACCTCGACAGATTCCAAAAATGCTTACACGGCCTTGCGGGTGATTAATTATTGTCCACCCTGCAACCCTTATCTCACAGACGAAATATCGCCAGCCTTTCACTATTCTATCGCTATTACTGTGGCAGATGTTTGGGCACCTCGGCGTAGTGTAATGGTTAACAAGCTCGTCTCGCTAGATCAGTTACGACTGATGCTCTATACTTTCGGCCTTGTGCCACATCTAAGCTACGCTTAGAAAAATAAAATGTGTGTTAACCCCTTTCTTGAGTAGTTTGTAACAGATCATTTATCATCTCTCAGTTTGCGTCTCTGACTTTGCGCGGAGTGCACTCAGGGGCGACTCCGTCAAAGGACAGTATCGCAACTGAGGAATATTATACTGAGAGATGACCAGCCCTGGGGAACAGCTGCCCAAAGCCGCGACCTCTCATTGCACCAGAGAGAAGGATCGGTGCTCGCACCGAAGCTAGCGCAACCAAAAGCTGCAGGAGCTGCGGGCAATTTTTGTTCCTTGCCCGGGTGGACGCGCTCGGGCTCCCAACCTTAAAAAAAAAAAAATTGTGTCACAACTCGTTTTAGTGGAGAGACAGAGTATACATCTATTGTGGCAGATGTTCGGACGAATTATATTCCTTAGTTCTAGCAGTTCAGACCTTTACAGTTAGGACCGGCCGTGTTCTTCATTCCCTTCGTCTTCCTTTGATAAAAAAAGCAATTTTCACTCAGACAGCTTCTTCCCCAGAACTGTTACATTGTGGAAGAAACTCCCTAGAGAATACTTCCCTGACAACTATAATCTTGGTTTCTTTAAATCCAGGGTCAATAGATATCTGTCTTACACATCCTCATAATAATCTTTTACTCGTTCGGCTCACTCAGTAACCCTCTACCTTGAATGGTGTTTAGGCCTTGTATTGCGTGAACTAACAGTAAAAACAGACCCTTCCTTTATGACCTGTGGCCAAAATACGCTGCTTTCTTTTCCAAAATCTATTACGACCAACTTTCATTTCAAAGGCATTTTTCAGACTTAATCTTTCTTGTATTACCAACCTGCCTCTTAACTGGACAGGTGTATATTTCAGCTCTGCATGAGATTGAACTCACGACTACCACTAACGTACTCCTCTCAGCTCTCAGCCAGATAGCAGTGTTGTTAACTTGTGCCTGTTCTATCCTAGAAATAAAAACTAAAACAAAAAATAGAGATCTTTTTAAATAAACGAAAGAAAGAGAACCTTTTTTTCTCTCTTAAAATAATCAAGCAAAAGGATCGCTTATATCCAAATCGGGTTTGTTTAGAGTCCAATCCACCGACTGATCAGATTGATGTTAAGGGGAACATTAGACGTTGTAATTTCAACATCAACTGCAATAAAAACATACAAAAGAAAAGATAGGGAGGTAAATATGAAGATAGATAGATAGATAGATAGATAGATAGATAGATAGATAGATAGATAGATGTTACCCTGATCACTATGATCTTCACCACTTGAAGTTTATGGTTAACCATTATCTATCCTACATATCCTCATAATATGCTCTTCTTACTTAAACCATTTACACCCTTACGACAACCTCATTAAGTAACCCGCCACTTTGATGGTCTCTTGCACCTTGTATTGGCTGAACTATAATAAAAAGAAGATAGATAGATAGATAGATAGATAGATAGATAGATAGATATAAACAAATGAAGAGAATTAACTTCAGCTCGAATACTAATTCTATTTGATTTGCACATGAATTTTGTTAACGAGTCACACCAACCTTGCAAAGTACTTATCTTAACCGCCAAAGTTTTAAAAAATAAGTAGCTGGCTACCCGCACTATTTTGCCGCGTCTTCAATGCCTTTTGATACCTTTTAATGAGCACGTGACTTCTCTTTTGCCGCCAGCTCGTGGCCACGTGACTACGACTAATTTTATTTCTCTTTCAAACGACAGTAATCAAGAAAGTTCATGTTTTTAGTCATTGAATTTGTATGATTTTTTTTCTTTTCTTTACTGATTCAGACTTGCCACACGATATTCCAGACAAACTACGACCACGTGTCCTGTCACCCATTAGGGTCGTAAGGGTGGGGGCCACATGTCCCGCGGTCGTAATGAGTCTAGAGCAAGATAACCTGACGGCGTCCAAACCTATTCAGGCTGGGTCGAATTTAGAGTTTTCCTTCTCCTAAAATATTTGCCAATCAAGGCAAGCCCAGTCTGCTCTGCTATTTACCTAAAGCTGATGAAAGTGAAGAAGAGATGGATTCATGCCTTTTCCAAGGGTATTTGCGTGATAGTGAATATAACGACAGGAATTCGAACCCGGCTCTCCGATTCCTTATTCCGTTATCCATTGCACCACCGCGCATCCAGTACCGGTATATCAGTGCGCGCGCCAATTAACCTGAATTACTCAGAGACGCTTAACAAAGGCCTTTTTCAATTCTTTCTTTTTTTCTAGTAATAATCAATTAGAGATATGAGTAGGTTTTTCGTGTTTGTTTATTCAGCAAAAATATTTTCCTCTTAGATATTGTTTAAGATAAGAACATTTATTGTGAAAAAGGATGGTGATTATTAGCAACGAAAAAATGGTGGCGATTATTAGCAGCCTAAAAAACAAATCAGCTTTTCTTCCACAGCGCGATACAAAAAGCGTTTCTTTTTAAACATTTCACTCCAAGCAAGGCAATAAAGCCACTAAGATACACGGGCGTTACTGAGTGTGAAAGAAAAACATTATTAATAAATGAAGACAATACAGAATTCAAGGCGACAGAAGAATGTCTACATTTACCGCTCTAATAAAGTTGTTTACTAAATATACAATGGAAACGATCCCTTTCGCTAATGGCTCTTTTGTATCTATTCTCATTATACAATCATTGGACCGTTCTGGGTATGACGATAAACTACATCCACGTCTTGGATAAGACGATAAACTACGTCCAACAGCAAGGCCTCTGATCAGGAGGTTTTGAGAAGCGTGGAACCACCCCTTAATTGCTGGTGTTCCCAGGTCCACCCTGACCCGGGGTGGTAGCACCTGTTAGGGTCCCAGCTACGGGCAAATAATCAAACTCGAAACTGAGGTAAAAAGCATTATGAAAGTGTAAAAATAGGTTTTAATACCAGAAATACTTTGTAAAAACATTATTACCAGAAATAAATTTTTGAAAAAAAACTATTACCAGCAATATATTTTTGAAAAAAAATATTACCAGCAATACGTTTTTGAAAAAAAAAATATTACCAGCAGTAGATGTTTAAAAATATTACCAGTTATACATTTTTGAGAAAAAAAAATATTACCAGAAATAGATTTTTGACAAAACAAAATATTACCAGGAAAAAAAAGTTGTCGGCATTAAATAACCCATTGAGGTTGATATACCGTAAAATACAGCAAACCAACAATCATTGGAAATGAAAGTTTTGGGGTGTTCTGTTGAATCTGATTTGTAGAGTTACATAAGTAATAGTTATTGACTTTGTTATTAGATTTTATATCCAGTGCAACGCCCAAGAGCCACTCAAGGAAGAGGGTGACTAAAAAATTTTTTTTAAATCACTTCACCCCAATGAAAAAGTGATTAAGCCACTAAGATTCAAGGGATTACTGATCGTGAAAGAAAATGAGAATATGCTAGTGAGTAAAAAGGACAATAAAAGAACATGTTCTAAAACGACGAGATGACGATTGACGTTGCATTTAAATTTTTAGAGATCGTAGTTGACAGGAAAACAAGACGCTGGATAAGAATTCTACAAGTGAAAAGTCCTAGCGAAGAGACTGTTAGCATAGAACTTACGGTTAAGCCGTTTCAACTGTAAGTTGATGAGACTTAATCTAGGACTACGCTTAAATTCATGATATCGAGGTACCAAAGCGGAAAGCTTATCGGAAGAATTACCATGAAATTACCATTTATAGAAAAGTGTTATGCTAATTTACCCACGCACGCATGTACTCTCCCACCTATAAATAGAAGCAGGTACTGCCTTTTGGAGAGGGAAGTTTCCAGCAGTCAGCATTGTCAGTCGGACCGAACATTCTTGCTGTAACATTCTCGTTTGTATTACTGTTTCTGTTAATATATTTGTTTAACTCAATTTCTCTCTTGTGTCTTTATTTCTGGCCCTAACCCCGGCCACAACAAAAAGTTACAGCGAAGCTACGTTACGGCGGTAGGAAAGTGACTGAAGCCGATATGCCAAGTCAGGACTGATAACATTGCAGATTCTTCTTTAGATATTATCAGGAATCTCTAGATACATAGCAGAAGCACCAAACCAGATGTGGTAAGAATATTCAATGATACAAGATTTATCTACATCTGGATTGGGAAAACATCTGAATTACTTAAAGGAGGAAGAATGTATAGAGAGTGTGACGGGGGGCGGAGAGAGAGTGACGGGAGAGAGAGAGAGAGAGAGAGACTGAGAGCTTAGTCAACCACAAAGCTAAAATTTCCAAATGGGGAGAGCCTACTAGATTGTCTGCCTTAAAGAATCAGCAAAGCTAATACCGGAATTTTATCTAAGCTCGAAGAATAAGCATTGGTATCAATGAAAAATACACAGCTATAACTGCGCGGTAAGCCACATTACACAGAGGTATCCATTTTGAATCGAACGCACTACACTAGCGAAAATTTACAGGATCCTCCTGGTAACCATTGGTATGTGACATGTTATCCTCAGCTGATGATTAAAAAGTGACGAAAGAGTAATCATTTGTTTAGTAAACAAAGAAACCAACGCAGATATTTTCTCCTAGACAGCGTTCATCTATGGTTTTCTGACGACCTATTACTAATATCAGCCTCACCACATGAATTACAAGAAATACTAAATGACTTGAATATGGTGTTTAAGCTTTAAAAGGAATAGAAATAAAACAAACGTAATCTCTATTTATAATGCCCCAAAACGATATTAAGAATAGAGGATGAGGAACTGGAAATCGTCCAGGAATATAACTGCTTAATACGTTCCATAGCTTACAGAAAGTCTATAAAAATTAAATAAAACGACTTATAAGTATAGGGTGGAAAGCATAAAAACTTATATAATTACTGATATTCTTAAAATATAATTTGTATAATGAATGTATACCGCCAGCAATAAAGCATTGACATTAATTAAATCACATGAAAACGATCCTAAAAATGTACTTGTGTGCACATAGCTGAAAAGAAAGAAAATCATTCATAGGCTTTGCTTTTAGAAAATGTGTGTGTGTGTGTGTGTGTGTGTGTGTGTGTGTGTGTGTGTGTGTGTGTGTGTGTGTGTGTGTGTGTGTGTGTGTATATAAATATAAATAAATATAAGTATGTATAATTATTTATATATTATATGCGCGGTACTTATTAGAAAGCGCTCAATATCAGAGATAGAGCTAACATATTTGGTTGGATTGATGTGAGTTTGTGACCCTGGGTTTCACGCTTTAGCGGTCGTCAGACAAACTGATTAATCTCACATCTATCCAACCAAATATATATATATATATATATACATATATATACATATATGTGTGTGTGTTTTCAATTCAGTCTGGTTGGATAGCCCACAAAAAAGATAGCAGATCTGTAACGACATTTGGTTACCAATGTCTAGCAGCGTTGATCAGTTTTCTGAAGTGGGATGTGTTCTTTTGCTGGAGGGATTTATATATTTATGTGAGAGCTTGGGTACCTCGAGGCGGCGTAATGGTTAGCAATCTTGGCTCGCTAGAACAATTACGACTGAGTAGTGAGTTCGATCCTCTCTGGGTGCCCCCTAATTTCGGCATTGTGCCACATCTAAGCTACGCTTGGAAAATCACTATTTATGTGAGAGATTGCAGAAGTGATCGCGTGGGACTTTTCTTTAACAGGTTGATTGATTAATTTTGTTTTGCGGCATATCAAAATCTCTATGGGTTATTTAATGGCGAAACTAAGTAATTTGAACACAATTTTATGGCTTCAACGAAATATATTTTGAATGCAATTACATGCCTTTAACTACAAATAAAATGTATTGTTGGTAATTTTCTTATAAAATGCATTGTTGGTCATAAATATATAAATATGTATTGTTGCTACTATAAGTAAGTATTGTTGGTAATTTTATTTTAAAATTGAAATTGCTCGTGTTATTACTAAAAAAAAGTATTTTATACTTTCGTAGTGTTCTGCTTTTGTTCGGGGGTTAACTATTTGTCCATAGCGAGAACCCTAACAGGTGCTGCCACTCCGGGTCAGCGTGACCTTGGGAACAACAGTAATTTGATTGTGGTTCCATGCTCCTCAAAATCTCCAATATCCCAAACAGAGGCTTTGCTGCAGGATGTAGTTAATCGTCATACCCAGGACGACTAAAATACAAGAGATACTAGTAGTAAAAGAGAATGAGAAGACTTTAGAGGAAACCGAAAGTCCAATCTTAAACAGGAAACAAGGGATAAACCTCTACTCCTGTTCAAAAGATGGAGGTCAGGTGTGGACCAGACGATAGGTAAGCCTATCTACGCGGTGAGTTACTGGCGTGCAAACTGGAACCAGCGTTTACTTTCGCATAAATGTCATTGGGAAAGGCATGAAACCATCTCTTAAATAACAGGGTATACTGGGCGCTAGCATCCAGTCTAAGATAAAAACTACCCTGAATTCAAAACCACGGAGAAGGCAATGGGAAACTACTCCAATATCTTTCCTAACAAGTCATGGCAATTCAGAAGCAATAAAGAAAATGAATCTTAGAGTCCCGATCTTCTATTTTCAGAAGAGATGGCAACAATATCCGCCTGAATTTATGGGAAATATTTCAAAGTGTGTCTATATAGATATGAATATTTATAGTTATTTAGTAAATGTAGCTTAGTTATGGTACAAGACTGCAAGTATGGAGCCCTCTGTGAAGATCTACGTCATTATAATATAATAAACATTATTAACTGTAATAAGACTAGGCTGTATTTTACTCATACGAGGTGACTGTGTAAATAATTGCTTATGTAGCGTTCGCGGAGTTATTTTAATAATGTGTATATGTTTGTAAATGAAACCCATGACGAAGGAGGGTACCATACGATTTTTAAGCTGGCCTGAAATGTATTTCATTTTTCATCCAATTCCGATGGTGCGGTATTTTTTGCTAATTCTGAAAAGATTTGGTGTCAATGATTCAAGAGAATGATTCCTGTTACACTCGTTAAGAACTGGACAGGAATTCCGGTCTACAAGTGACTTCTGTGATTCCGCTTCCCCCCACACTCTTTCTTTCTTTCTTTCTTTCTTTCTTTCATTCTTTCTTTCTTTCTTTCCCTCTCTTTCTTTCTCTTTCACTCTTTTTCTTTCTTTCTTTCTTTTTTCTTCCTCTCTTTCTTTCTTTTTTATTTTATTTCTTTCTGTCTTTCTTTTTTCTCTTCCTCTCTTTCTCTTCATCTCTTTATTTCTCTTCCTCTCTTTCTTTCTTTCTTTTTACTTTTCCTCTCTTTCTTTCTCTTTCGCTCTTTTTCTTTCTTTCTCTCTGTCTTTCTTTCTCTCTTCCTCTCCTTCTCTCCCTCTCTTTGTTTATCATCCTTTCCTTTTCTTTCTTTCTTTTTTACTTCCTCTCTTTCTGTCTCTTTCTCTATTTTATTTCTTTATTTGCTTTTCTTCTTTCTCTTCCTCTATTTTTCTTTTTTCTTCATCTGTCGTTTTTTCGCTGTTTTTCTTTTTTTTCTTTTCCTCTCTTTCTTTCTATTTTCTCTCTTTCTGTTTCTTTCTCTTCAAATTTATCCCTGTATCTACTGTTATTTTCTTTCTCACTCACTCTCCCTGCTTCTCTCTCTCTTTTCTTCTTCTTTTTCTTTTCCCCTCTTTCTTTTCTCTCGCTGTCTTTCTTTCCTTATGCTTTGCTCTCCTTCACTTTCCCCTCTCACTTTCAAATAATCAATAATCAACTTCCAATCCACACTTTCTTTCTTTCTTTCTTTCTGTTTTTCTTTAATTCTTTACTCTTTCTCTATTTCTTTCTCCACCCTCCTCTTCCATTTTCTACTCCTCTTTTTCACCTCTAAGATGACTTCACGATCAAAGGCAGTTGTTATTAATTTCACTGCTTAAGAAAATAGAAAACCGGGATAGCAACTCAACCACATGGACCCACTAAAATAACGGTTATAGTAATAAGAAATACATATATATATATATATAAATATATATGTGTGTGTGTGTGCGCGCGCGCGTGTGTGTGTGTATGAATGTATGTATGTATATATATATGTATGTGCTGCAAAGTTCTCGGAATAAGGTGTAGTGATCAGAGGATATTTATTTAAAGGTGAGTTTAAAGTCTTGTCGAACTCTCCTGTCGCATCATGTTAGTCGCATTCTTGTAAAATCTTTTGTTGGTTCCCCAATCTTAACATCTCCTTTTATTTTACTCTCCGTTCGATTCAGTTCAAATAAGCACATGACTCTATTTACTGACAGGCCATAATAATAAACAATGATAAAACCAAACCTGGATTGTAACTCCCACAGGCAATTACTCCTTACCCCAATAAAAAAAAGCAACTTCTCTCATTTCATTTTCTAATACTTAATTAAATCATTTATCGATACATCTGATCCAATCAAATTCAACGAAGCATAAATATTGATCTGCATGCCAGCTTCTTTGCAGAAAACATTTGCTTTTTTTTTCCCACGATTAAAATAAATATTAGTCCATCTGTCCTCATTTGAGTTGAAAGCCGTAAAATCGGTTATATATAATGAAACGTTTACGGAGCCGGATTAAGAAGTTCGTAGACTGCTATGTGAGAGGGGGGGGCTGATTCTCGTAATGGCCCACTTCCTAAAATTTAATCAAATATCTCAACATCAGATTTAAAAAAAAAAAAAAAAAAAAAACTTCTTAGTTGGGCTGAACTCTTAAATTGCACCCGTTGACATCACCTGAATTTTAACCACAGGAAAAAAGTTTGTATGAATGAGCAAACCAAACAGGTAAAAAAAAAAAACGAGAAAATTCTTTTTTTTTTAAATGTCTTTATGCTTATTTTCAATTTAATTCCAACTATAAAAAAATATATTTCTCTTACTTATTTCTGTTTACCTTGAGCTCCTTGATAAAATCCAACAAAGAATCAGCAATATTATTGTCCTGATCTGGCAGCTCGGCTTCAGTCACTTTCCCATCAACTTAAGGTTGCCTCTCTGTGCCTTTTCTATAAATGCTTTCATGGTAATTCTTCGGGTGAGCTCTTCGCTAGGGTACCTATGCTTTTTGAATTTAGATTGGTATCTAGATCTCATCAATTTACATTTGAGCTGGCTAGATGTAGCCATAAATTTTATGCTAACAGTTTCTTTTCTCGCACTTCTCGCTTGTGGAACACCCTTCCGGCTTTATGCTTTCCCGACAAATTAATCTAAAATTTAAATGCAATGTCAATCACTATCAACTGTCCTTTTGATTACTCTTTTCTCTTCCCGTTCATTATTAATATTTCTGTTTCTAATTCTTCCACACCCTGTAACTCCTTGTGTCTTAGTGGCTTTACTGCCTTGCATGGGGTGATACCGATTTAAAAAATATTTTACATTAAAAAAATAAAGAAAAAAGGAAATGAAACAAATTTAAGGTTTCTACGTTTAATATGTTTAAGAATATGCTAACCATTTAAGCATTTTATGCACAATAGATTGTGTATTCTTTATACCAACTTGTTACCATTTTTCGCATATTTTCTATTCGCAAAATATGCATGCAGTCACAGCACTTGTCTTTAGCTTGTTCTTCCAGACAAATTGTGCAGGAAATTTAGTAACATCATGAGTCCTTATGTTGCTACTAACGTCCATGAGAGTAACTCGTTGTGCCTTCTTGGGCTGACATAAAGTGGAAAAATTATATTTGAATCCATTGCTAGGTCTGCTGTTGGCTCACTTATCTTATGCATTCATAAGTCTACCATTCATCCTTGTCTTTGAATATTACTGCCACATATGGTCCAATGCTCCAGCTGTATATTTAGAGATTCTTGAGAAATTGCAAAGAATAAACAGCAATATTATCGGTCTCGGTTTCAGACACTTTCCTCGTGCCATAATCTAGATTCCATGTGCCTTTTATATAAATACTTTCATGGAAATCGTTCTGATGAGATTTTCTCTATGGTACCCAGACTTTTTGAATTTAAGCGCAGTACTAGATTGGCGGCAAGGTCTCATCAGTTTATAGTTGAAAGGGCTAGATGTAACCATAGGTTCTGTACTAAGAGTTGCTTTTGTTTCACTTCACGCCTGTAGAACTCTCTTGTAAAATCCTTTCGATTGTATAAACATAATGAGGTAGATAGATATGGATAGATATAAACGCAGCGAGATAGATAGATAAATAGATAGATAGATAATGAACAACCTAGATAGATAGATAGATAGATAGATAGATAGATAGATAGATAGATGAACAACATAGATAGATAGATAGATAGATAGATAGATAGATAGATAGATAGATAGATAATGAACAACATAGATAGATATAGATAGATAGATAGATAGATAGATAGATAGATAATGAACAACCTAGATAGATAGATAGATATGAACAGACTGAGATAGATGGTATTTATCAATTCACCCACAGGAATTGAATGTGGCACAAGGCCTTTTTAATGTGGGTATGTCCGAGCCCGTAGGCCCAGCCAAAAATAACACCCATCTAAACCCGTCGAAGCGGGCTAGTTCCGTCAACCTCCCCGAACGAAACCCCACCCTTCGGCGGAGCTTCGAGATAGATAGATAGATAGATAGATAGATAGATAGATAGATAGATAGATAATGAACAACCTAGATAGATAGATAGATATGAACAGACTGAGATAGATAGATAGATAGATAGATAGATAGATAGATAGATAAAGTTCAAAAGATTTATCTATCCAAATTCAAGTTTCGTAGATTTTGAAATATTTTATCTATTGTTTTGTTCTATGTTTTAACATTGAGCACTTTGTTTACAACTTTAAATGCGTTAAACGCCAATAAATTAATGACCGGCGTCTTTTGCTAGGCGTTAGCAAATCTATGTTATTATACAGAGCGACCCACCCCACACACAAAATTGACATTACTTAAAATGTGAATATCTGTAATGAAATTAAATAGGCTCCGTGTTAAACAATAAAAGATTTATTTATCAAAATTCGATCAAGATATTCAAAGGGATGTCGATTTTATAACCGATTTCACAAAGCTTCACAAATGTTCAATGTGACACGACACACGTCAAGTCGGTAGTCCAGCTCCTGCTAAACACGCTGTAGCATGTCTTGCGTAACATTCTCCAGCACCTCAGTGATTCTCTGCTTAAGTTTCTCTAGGAAGAGGGGGATATAGACCTGTCCTTTCACATAGCCCAATAGAAAAAGGTCACAAGCTGTCAAGTCAGGTGTACGTTTTTTCAATCAATTCACCCGAAACAAGGCGATAATACCACTAAGACGCAAGGGGGGGCTACTGGTAGTGAAAAAGAATGAGAATAGATGGAACCGGAATAGCAATTCTAAACAGTAAACAAGGGATAAATCTATACACCTATTCAAAAGACCGGGGAGGAGTGTGAACCGGGCGATGGGCGAACGTATCTACTCTTATTCTCATTGAGATAAGTTCGCACAGTCAACTTAGTTTTTGCACATTTTGTTAAAATTTGATATTGTTAGAATTAAAATTGGCTATATTATAAGACTACAAAATGATGACAATTTTGGGTGGGAGACACTCTGTAGATCGACGCCACCTGCGTCATATCGAATGTTTCTATCTCTGTTAGCTACGCTGAGCTGGTTATTTTTATACGGGAAAAATATCGATTTCCAAAGAGTCTAATTTTCTGCGAGCCGGTAGTCTTAACATTCGACGGTAGAACCACATTTCTGCTGCTTAAATTCTCTTTTTCATCTGTCAGAAAATTCTCCAGCATTCATTGCTCTGAAAAAGATTAGATTTTACATAACAGTTCAGCACTCTTTTCTTTGTTTCTAACAACATTTTTCTCTCTGTTAATACTTTGCTTAGTTTATGAAAGGTATGATGAGATTGTCCAGCATTCACTGCCGTATAGTAAATTTGATATTACATAGCCGTTCAGCACACCTTTCTTTGTGTCCAACATTTTCCTCTCTTTGTACTTTGCTTAGTTTACGAAAGGCATCAGGAGATTGTCTATCATTGTCCTGAAGGAGACGAGATATTAATAACAGTTCAGCACACCTTTCTTTGTGTCTAACATTTTCCTCTCTTAATACTTTGCTTAGTTTATGAAAGGCATGATGAGATTGTCCAGCATTCACTGCCATATAGGAGATTAGATATTACATAGCAGTTCAGCAATATTTTCCCTTGTTTCCCATGATATTTTCCTATGTCTTAATACTTTGCTTAGATTTTGGAAGGCATTTTTGCTATTCCTATGCATCTACGTATTTCTGTTTCACATTTTCCCATCGTCTAGATTGTTGGATTTGTGCCCCTGTTTGATTACTGACGTCCCCAGTGCACAACTCACAACTTGGGGTGTTTCTTTTTGCTGACAATCGTGCAATCTGTCCGTTTAGATTTAACAGTTAGTCCTTTCTTCTTGCTTTCTTTTACTATCTTTTCTAAGATTTATTTCAGTTTTCTTTGAACCCTTAATAAACCCAGTATCTTTCGTTTATCTTTTATTAAGGCGAGTCTATTACGGTCGTCTTTTTATAGATTAACTAAATTCCTTGTCTGAATCATATTTTTCTATTCACTGACTTTATTCTGTCTGCATACAGGCTATTTGTTCCCAGTAAAGTTTACGGATTACTTGAATAATTGCAAGGGGAAAATATAGCCAACTTTCTTAAGGGTAAACATCTTATGCCAAACATGGCAGACTTGTTCTAAAAAAATTAGACAGAGATAGATAAACATTTTAGTGAGCAGGTTAAGTTGTGAATAAAAACGTGTGTTCAATAGTTTATAAATTTATCCGTTCTCCCCCAAAATATAAGCACTGTTTTGATAAGTATAAGTA